CTACTGGACTCGTCCATTGGACTCCTATTACTGTGGCTATTGATACGACTGACCGAATACCTGGCCGTTCGGTACCGATACGGGCCGCTAGTGTTCGGCGAGTACGGCAAACCCGAACCACTGGCCCGGTATTGGCTGATCCAGTGCTGGGCGTATGTGGTGATAGTGCTGGTGGTCAAGTCGGTGATCACTCTACTCTTGCAGTTGTCATTCTGGGCACGGGTTCGGGCGCTACTACTCTGGCCTATCAGTCGCTTCCTGAACCGGGAGGCGGAGATATTTATGGTAATACTAGTGATACCATTCTTCGTGAATGTACTCATGTTTTGGGTGACCGACAACTTCCTGATTATGCACCGCACGAGACAACGAAAGTACGGCCAGTCGGCCGGCGTTGTGACCGGCGATGTCATACTGGCGTTCGCTCAGTCCGCCGGACACCAGCCGTCGGTCGACGAGAGACCGGTTAATGGCAACGGAAGCGGTCGACGACCGCCCGGACGGGTCAGCAGCGATGATGACGACGACGCAGAGCTCATTGATATTAGCTTTGAACCGGAGGACAGTCCCGATCACCGCAATATGCTTTGATGGATCTCTTCCCGCCACCACTCCCTCCCATCACCCGTCCAGACCTGATCCCTGTGTGTGATCTGATTCGCCGTTTATTCCGCTGTGAATGCATTTTTTGACTGAAATGTCTTTTTTTATTGATTTGATTTTTTAAAATATTTAATTATGATTTCAAATAACTTTTTATTTGAAGTTTGATTTTATTTGTAATGATTTAAATAATTATTTATTTTATTTAAGATTTTCAAAGTAATCATATGTTGTATAGGAATCTGTTTGAGTGATTCTCTAATCATTTTTTTTACATTTTTAATTTTTGTTTTAACTTATTTTTATACCAAAAACAATTGTATTGTGTACTCCAGAAGTTTTGTTATAGTGTACGCCCCAACACTTGGCTGTTTTTTAATTATTTAGTACACTATACAGTAAAACGAGTGAGATATTACCTAGATGTTAGGTATATACTGTTACATTTCTCAAATATATTTTTTAAAAATGACATTGGTGGTTAATTTCGATTGAGATTATTATTATCTAGTTTTGCAAAACTATTTAAGATGTGTTTAATTAGAAACTCATAATTTTTAAATGAATTTTTTTAATTTAAAATATTTCTCATAAATATTTTCAAACAAAATGTTGATTTTCTGTTAAAATACTTGTTAATCAGCTATTAATTGATAATTTAGTTAATAATAATACTGTAATTGCTGTACAAAAAACATAATACATTACCAAAAACAAAAGTTATATACAAATTGTTTTAAACACTGTTTTGGAGATTATTGTATATTAAAAAGCAATTAATATTGCAATTGTTTAGCAAAAGTCTATTTATACACGTCTGACAACGAGATAAGTAAATACAAATATTTATCCATTGAATGTCTGGTTATAATATCATTAAGTTTTGCTAATTGTACGATAAAGTGAGAGATGTCTACGAAATGTTAAGCGATATATACTTTACATTATATTCTTATCGGAAACAAGAGTACTATTAATACAAAAAAAATTTCAATAAAATTCTCGCTAAATATAACAAGTTTTGTAACTTATTATACAAATCTATATAAACACAGGAATTGTAATTAAAACTTTGAGAGAGAGAGAGAGAGAGAGAGAGAGGCACTTCATGGACAAGTATTTTGCTATATGGTCGTCCCAAAACGTACACATCATATACACGGCAATTAAAACTCTAGTTTAAATTTAAAGTTTTTGTTTTACGCCAAACACTGTATAAACAGATGACAACACCAAATGTATATATGTTTTCTGTTAACAATTTTTCAATCGTTTTGTTTATTTGAATTAAAAACAGTTAATTGTGTGGAAAAATACACGGTATGTGTGTTGGGAGACAGGAATTGGTGCTGAAGTTTATGCCAAACATCAAACACATACTGTACTTACGATTTTGTCATTTCGTTTGGGGAGAGAGAGAGAGAGACTTTATAAACTATTCCGAGAAAAATAATAATAATTGCATTTAAAAAACTTCGATATCGTGATATAGATTTGCTATCCGTTCATAAAAATTGTAAAATTTCCATATTATATATGAAATGGATGTGAAATTAAACGCTAAACACCAGAATTAAAATAACTTTTATCTCAAATAATATTTGAGTTAATATTATTTGACTTAAAACTTTAGTTTACATCACAACCAAAACTTCAACACAACTAACAAAATATTTTGAGTAAAAGTGAAAAATTCAAAATACATAGAAATAGTGTTATGCAATAGCAGTCAAACGAGTAACAGGAATAATACAATACAGGTATACTGTAGAGTATAGAGTGGTTGATATTATCCATACCATTGCAGTGGAGGGTTGTCTACACCAATGTCTGTGGGAAGTCATGCGCGGCTCTACATTGCAGACATACAGCACACACACCAACACAACATACATGTATATTTTACATTGTGGTAACACAACAGACCTGGCATCATAAAACATTGCCAAAACATTTAGGTTGGTTGTTTTTGAGCAATATGCCCTAGCGCATTATATTATTTTTTAACGTGTATTAGTGTGTGCTTAACATTTGATAACATTTATATGCATTTAAAATGCAATTGAATTGATTGAATACATTCAATGCAAACACACCTTTCAATTACTATTACATTCACTATTTATACAGTATTTCGCAAACCTTAATAAAACTTACTGTATGTTAAACCACAAAATATTAATATTAATCGCGTTTATAATGTAATTAAAATAATATTATTGTTGAATATTAATAATCGCTGCGAAAATTACTCCAAGATATCACTCGCCAATTGATCCGGAAGAATACCACAACTTCTACCTTATAGACAATGTCCGTACGATGTGTGTAATATTTTCTACCTAGATTCATTAAACACATATATTATCATCAATATCATCCATCGTACCCATCATGAGGTGATCCACACCACCACGGCGTGAGTGGCAACACATCTCAAGACATATACTCCAGTCAACTGATAATTGTCACCACAAACTCACTCTCGAAGATCTCCAACACATTCAACCAATTCATTCACTTGAATCTCATTCAAACTCACGGCTAGTCTTCTGGTGCTATCAAAGGCATCGACGATATCACCGCTCAATCCCATCGATATTATGGACGTGAATGGCGGCCATCAAGTGGTGGTCGATCACTGCACCCACGGCTCGTTGACCTCGTGGTTCGGGTGGACAATACAGTTCTTGTTGGCCACCATTGCGTTCGCGTGTCTTATCGGTTAGTGTCTGCCATCGATTGCCACTCATATTATCTATAATGACACTTACAATCAGATTATATTAACACTTATATCTTAATTACTATTATATTAATGTCTAATCTATTTATTATCACAACTTTATAGTGAAGAGGTTTTGCGAACCGCAACGATATCGTCGGCCATGGCTTATATGGTTCTTCGACACATCCAAACAGGGCTTCGGGGCTATTGTTGTCCACTTTTCCAACATTATTGTGGCCGAACTCGTCGAAGGCCGCGATCCGTGTACTCTGTATGATATGCCCATCATATATGACAACCAATATCTCTAATATCATGTTTACCACCATTTAATACCACAGATATATCATCAGTTTCCTACTGGACTCGTCCATTGGACTCCTATTACTGTGGCTATTGATACGACTGACCGAATACCTGGCCGTTCGGTACCGATACGGGCCGCTAGTGTTCGGCGAGTACGGCAAACCCGAACCACTGGCCC